CTCATGTCAATAACAAATAAAAAAGGGAACATGCAAAGAACATTTTCAATAACTAAGAGTTCAGATTGCCTGTGGGGTTTGTTTCAAAAAGCCCACTATATAGCTAGGAAATCACAACCAAGACTGCATGAATAACCAGATCAATCTCATTCCAATTACCTTACTAACCAAGAGTCACTCACTCCCARTACACTTCCTTGCTCCCTAATTCTGCAGAAAATATAGTCTCTGAATGCCTGAGATATTTGTTTCAACAGTTGACTTAGCTCARAAGTAGGAACCTCAGTACTCTCATTTTTCTCAGAATAAACACGTATCCCAAATCCCACCAGTCGTAACAAAATGCAGAGCACAACACACCAATAAAAGAAAATAAAAATCAGCCAAAATTATGACTCTCATTTAGCAAGCTTGTGTTTCAGCAGAGGAAGTGGACAGGCTGAATAGATTGGCTATGGAGTTGTTTCAAGAATTTAAGTAGCAATTCTTCAGTGCATGGTGGAATTAAGGATGTTTGTGTAGACTTTTATTTTTCACTTCAAAGTTTTCTGTGATATCCTCCACCTACAATGCAAAAACTTACAAGGAATTGGTTTTAATAACTACAGCCAAGTAATGAGGCTTTTCTCTTCATTTGACATCGCACATGTAACTTGGCCTTATTGGGATTATTTACATCGAAAGCTCTCTTTAAGAATTTCCATAACCACACTGTGTATGTATGCATCTGGACAGAAGAATCACTATGGATCAAAGAAGTTGCTATAAATTCATGTGTGGGGTTAGTTTAGGTTCAGGATTCTTGCAATGATTATAAAYGCAGCAGGAGTCCTTACAATAGCTCTGGTCTCTACAGGGCCACTGTCTTGTTAATCAACCTCCTTGAGGTCTCATAGCAGTTCTTGCTTTCCTCGGAAGCTGCAATCTCATGCAGCACGCTCTGCCAATTTACAGAGTCTACAGGGATCTGTTATGTTTGGCAAGGATTCATCAAATAAGGTTAGACTTCAACTGTGACACCCTGCTTGGCACAAACCAGTCCAAAGGTTACAAGTTCTTGTGATGGTTAGTGCATACTGAGATTTAGTAACTTTAAAGCTATGACTAAACCGACTCTGAAGCCCAGGTTCAGATGTTCATCCTGGCCACGTCCAAGCTGTGACCGGATCTGGGCATGAACTGTTTTTTGCCTCCTCCTGTCTGCCAGACATGCAGGCGTGCTGGTGGAGTGGGCTGGTAGCACAAGAAGGAAGCAGGACTTGGGACACACTGTGGAAGTGTCTGTCCCTTGGAGGAGCTGYAGGTTAGGAGCAGAGAACACACTGGCCAGCAAGGAGCCATCTTCCAGGGGAACATATGGATTGCAGCCCTGTTGGCTTTTCAGTGCTCTGTCTTTGCACATCCATATGGGAATTGTGTATATCCTGTGCTAAAAGGAGATAATCCTTGGCTTTATTACATGTATGGCACTTCCAACAAAACCTGGAAATGACATTCTTTCTAAACAATGCYTCTAAAAAGCAGAAAATCAATGTTAAAGCTGAATGGATCTGTTCAGCACAAAAGAGAAGCACAGAGAGGACAGAAAAGTCTGAGTGCTAGTAAATTGTCAGGAGATTAGCTATGGTTATTTTTATTGTTACTCTTTTTATTAATTATCAATAGCAACAACTGCTATAGGCACTGATTTGCATTGCCAAAGGACCTAAGAACTGCTTTTATACTATATGACAGGTCCTTGACTCAGAAAATTGACTTTTCAAGATGAGAGAGAGCAGATGAATATATCTGGCCTGACTGGGCAATGCAAGGAACCAGTGAGGCAGCAATGTTCAGGCATGAGATAGAGAGGGTTCAATGTGCCTTTGAACCCATCTCTATTTATAGTCCTTGTGGAAAAGGAGATCTCAGGGTCTCCTGAGGAGAGGGAGGGGATCTCGGGGTAGATATGGAGGCACCTGCAAATGTTCTGTGGCTCTTCCCAAGTACTAGGGGAAGTAGGGGAGAAAATAATTCATGTAAAACTTAGCAACAGGGTGTTGTATTCTTCTTTCCCTAGATGAGTAAAAGTGTGAGCCAAGATGTTAGTCCTTACTGGTAAATTTGAGATCTTAAAAGTGGAGACAAATAGTCCTATTTGATGTGATAGAGAAAGAGATGGCAGTGGTGAGATGCAAAGACAAATGGGATGTGGGCAAGATGTTAAGCTAGGAAAATGATTTGTGCAGCAGCATGAGTGGAGGTGGGTAACACCGCATTTGTCAAAACCACAGAACAGGATACTGCGGCAATCAAGGTGGGTGATGAGGCGAATTTAGGCCAGAATTATATCTGTGTGAATAAAGTGTTTCATTTAGAAAATGCTTCATAAGAAACAGCCTGTGTGATTTAAATGTAGCCTTGAACTGAGAGTTGCAAGGGAAGTTCAGAATAGAAAGTGATAGCCAGGTTACACACCTAGAAGATGGATGGATTGGAGAGGTTATCCACAGTGATTGAGTATACTCAGGTAAGGACAAGAGCTGGGGGAGAAAATGATATGATCTCTTTTAGTCATGTTAAGCCTCAGCAGATAGCTAGACACTGATGAGAAGTGTAGCTTTCATGTTCTAACTGCACTTAAACTGTCTCCTACCTCCCATCCTGCCAGCTTGCTCTTTAGCCTGGTTAGTGCACAGCCTTCAGGTATTGATATCCAGTCCTTCAGCCTTGYGTGTCCAAATGTGCTCGCCATAGGCAGCACAGGCACAGTGCAGAGAAGGGCCAGCCAATAGTCGGTTTCTCAAATCTCTTTGATGACTTTTTGAATCTTTAGCCAATCTCTCAGGTCTGAAGTCCCCATTTATCGCTTAAGGTATTTTAAGGTCCTCTGAAAATAAGTTTGCAAAGGGTAACTCAGAAAGTAGGTGGTAATGATTCTCATGGTTGGGAAGCAAATCTATACCAGCACATCTTTACTGGAACCAGCGTGCTACACTAGACATAGTTAAAGTACAAGATAGGTTTGGTGTTGTCCAGACATACATTCCTGTATGCTAGAAAGTTGACCATGGGCATGGGCAAGTTCATCGCAACATTTAACAGCACTGAARATGACCCCCAAAATAACACAGAAATTCAGCACTTGCACTTGCATATGAAGAAGCCAATATTGTCTCAGTCCTATACTGCTGAGCTAAATACATGTTGGGATTTCAGAAGGTCAAGCTCACAAATAGTTCCATATGAAGGTAGGCCTTGGAGAGAAGACATGGAGGGTCTGGGCACCTGCTGCCATGTAAGACACAGGTCAGAGTGCTCTGCAGTCCACAGAGGCTGAGATTATTCTGCCCAGCTCCTCACCTAGGTACTGTAGTAGATTTTTTTTTTTCTTAAACTGCCTACTTTGGGATGAGACAGGATTGYAACTAGCATGATGACCTATGACCTATGCTAAACAAGCAGGAGATCTTGGGAAAACTGTTTGTAATAGATTGATTTTTTTTTTATCCATAGTGAAAGTCTTTTTTCAATACATTTAAAAGGGTCTTATCCATCCAAGGATGTGCTGCATGTTTCACTGAGAAGCTATGTGAAAATATTTCTTGAGGAACACACTCAAGGGAAAACAGAGAAAGTAAACAACTGTGCATGCCATTTTGAAGATGTTCCTTACAGTTCCCAGTAATACAACCAACTCTGCTTCTTGACTAGGGACTCCCAAATGTCCATGTTAAATGTCTCTTAAATGTCCATGTCTTAAATGTCCATAGAACGAACCAATTTTTTCCCTCCATTTCTTGGCTAATGCTGAGAAAGATGAGTTTTCTCGACTGTTCTTTTTAACTATCTTGTATAGAAAAGCGATGAATGAGCTTCATGTGATATCATATGCTTAGTGCATCATGAAAATATATAAAAAAAGCTCTTGTAATTTATACTCTGTGCTACTAATTTGTAACAAAGCATCATCGAGGAAGGCAAAGAACTGTTAAATATGCAGTTGAGTCCTACAAAAGCCTACTTTGTAAATGTTAGCTATGTAAAAGCTCTGCCAGCAATGTCATAAGCAATCCATCATAATCACCCTTCGATAAACTCTTTGTCCAGTTCAAGAAGTAAAAGCTGTATTTAAGGTATTCATGGAGAAGAGAGAAATGCCTTTAGAAACAACAGCCTTAATGCACCACTAAGCTCTAAACCAAATATTTATAGGCCTGCAGTTTATAAACAATCTAAAATATTTGTATAGTGGATGTCCAAGAGATAGAAGCAAATTCAGTAATAGAGGTTTTACCATTCCAGCTACCTTGTTTGCTACTTTACCCACTGTTATATCMATAACTGAGTTATTGGCTTAGGAAAGAACCCAAAAGAAAATGAGTTAGAATATATGAATATGGTGCAGTGTTTATAAGTTTATCTGCCTTCAGGAAATCGACAATATCAAAGCTGATTCAAGCTGAGCTCTATCTGGATATGTATTAATTTTCACCATGAAAATAAACTAGAAATTACCGGGATAAAAGAAATAATAATGAAATATGGGAATAACTGCAGATTTTGCACGTTGTCATTATATAATGGACATAATGGACATAATGACATTACATAATGGATTCTAATTAAATCCAGGTGGAAAATGACCTTCCTAGACCTCCCTTCAAAATTAAGATTTTTGACAGTCATGATTAATGGAAACATGCACTTTGCATGCTTTGTAAACCTGAAACATCGTTGTACATTTCAGTTTATAATTTATCCCATTATCTGCTTCTGCATGCATGAAGGTCAGCTGTACTGGTACAAAGTGGCAATGATATCCAGAAGCTCCAGAAGGTTGTTTTCACAGATTTTCAATTATTTCACATGGGTAAATAATTTTGCCCACTCATTCCTTAGAAAAGTGACAGTCTGAAAGAGTAATATTTTTAACAGCAGTAATTAGAATATTCTTCTTCCCTTGCCTTTCTAGAGTAACAAAATGGCACAACAATAGAATTATTTTTAAGGATTCTTACCCGCAATATTTCTTCAATGCAGCTGTTATCTCCCGTTCCACTGTCCTGTAAACAAAATGAGAAAAGAGTTTGTTTGTGTTTTAAAGAGAAATAACAAATAGTAGGTTTCAGAAATGGCTGTCATGTGAAATTTATTCAGAACTCAATTACAGCTTCAAGATGAGGCCAAGTCTTTCCAGCATCTGAAAAGTGCCAGTATTTAGAATTCCAAATTATTCCCCATCTGGGCCACAAGAAAATGTAATAATTGCAATGTTTATGTACAATTGCGGCATATTTGTATTAAATTCATAGGCTTTTGCTTATGCTACTTTTGCATGTGGTTGATGCTATTTTGAATATACTGGCTGTGAACGAGCACAAGCAAAACACTTAGTGCATGTACACGCATCCGATAAATACATTTATTTACACGAAATAAATAATATCTGTGTGCATATCCTTTCTGCAGGGAAGACTCTGCAGCGATCCTGCCTGTGCGGAGCCTGATGAGATATAGGGCAGACGCAGCTGTGATGCTGACGGGAGAGCTGCAGAGATTGCAGCGCAGGCTGCAACACTGAACCTGGGCTTGTCAGCGTGGTATTGATGAGAAGGCTGCAGTCTCCTAAAACGCTGGCCCCTAAACCCATCCATGTGGTGTGGGACTGCCTGCATGGAGGAATTCAGCTCTTCTGAATTGTACTGCTTACCTGGAGTGGTTCTGCAATGGGCAAATGAGAGATTTGGCAGCTGTGTGCTGGGAGCTGCTCTTCCTATATGGCCATCCAGCTGGCACCTTGCCTAATTGCTCAGCTGGGCTGTCCCTGAGGGCCAGGTCTGAATGCAGAAAAGACAAGGCAGAGGGGGACATCAGTCTGTCATTCTAGGGAGCCCCCTTCATGCCTAGCGTGATTGTGGTGCGGGTGGGGATGGAGGCACGGGACATCTCCAGCTGCCATCTCCAGCAGCTCTCCACAAACTACAGGTTGCATCAGCAAYGTTTCTTGGGGGGTGCTTCAGCACACTATACTGAAGATATATACAGATATATGAAGATTTCCCAAAGCAAAAGCAGATTTTCTTCCTTTTGCAGAACAGAACTAATTCAGCRGGTGAAGAATGGGGCTGAGGGTCTTGTCACTTGAGAGGTATCCAAAAAAGGCAACCTCATTAATTKTCCCCAAAGAGGCAGCTCCCATTGATGAGCAAGCTCCCATTTCAAGTAAAAACCTAGTGGTTCAGAGGTTCCAGGTGCCCCCCTGGAGAAATATCAAAGGGATTTGATTTTCCAAAGCATGGAGCACTTGCCATCTGGAAATCAGACTCCTCAAAGACATCTCCATCTGGGCACCCATAAAATCCTGAGGCACTTTCAGAATTGAGTACTTTCGTGTCTACAAGACATAAATGAACTCCCCAGAGAGCTTGTGCAAGGCCTGCTCCATCCCGCTGTCACTGTCCATCCCTAGGCATTGCTGCATTATGGAAGACATCTGAACTTGCAGCCTCATGTAGCCCAACAGGTTTAACCGAGATCAATAGTAAGACAGCCACACATAGGCAAAGGAACAATTTATGTTTCATAATTTTCTGTAGCTGTTATTTCATGCCAACTCACAGAAAGTCGTAAATGTTTTACTGTTGACACTTCCACTAAATCTTTGCTGAATATGGCCCTTGATTGTTAAACAAATGAATTGCATTAACKCTTTTTGGTGCAGCACTGCCAGTCACATGCAGTCATACCACTAATTTCAAAGGGAAGGGAACTGAACCTACTCTAAAGCCAGTTTGCTTGAGAATTACTCGTATTTGTTGTATTGYTGCTAAAGAAAGACTGCAATCCCTTGAAAATAGCCCCATTCAGGTCTCCCCATGGTCCTCAGGATGCTGCACAACAGCCCCTGCTGCCTTCTCCTCTGCTGGAGTGGAAGGGCAAGCAAAAATGTTGCTGGTGCCAATGAAGTGGACAAGACAGCAAGAAACCTGCACACAGCAACAGCACAACAAGCTGTGCAAGAAACAAGCACAGAACAACAAGCTGTGGACTTTTAAGGATGCAAAAGACTATTTCAGATTAGGTTTATAAACAAGCTCCTGTTTCAAAATTAAATCTCTTTCCTAGACGTGCAACCGAAGAGGTCTGCAAATACTTATCAGCAAGAAGCTGCACTTTCTATTACCATACGACTAAAACTACAGCGCATCATATCTTAGAGCGAGGACTAAAAAAAACTTTTCATGCCTCACTCATTGCACTGCCCTATCGCATTGCGTTCCAAAAGACAAAAGAAAAAACAGAAACACAAGATAGAAATAAGAGATACAAAGAGGAAAATAGTACTTAGAAAGAAAGCTTCTATATTATCCTTTTGGTGTTTGTCTTTTCAATGCCAAATATATAAGTGTGTATATATATATATATATAAATATATATATAGCTTTGAATCTTGATTTTCTGGTAAATATTGCTGTTGATATCCAAATGCCTAGAATAAAAGTGGAAAACTTTCTCTGTGTGGTCTACATACCCTCAATTTCACATGGCCTGGGACCGTATTATATTTTTTTCACGATACTACTCTATAACACAGTGCAGAGTGTTAAAATGGGATCTAAAGTGTATCTGTAAGATGTATATGGCCCTTGGTATTCAAAATATTCCCCATTCTCAATCTAAAAGTTTCTCCAACCCACTACTTTTATGTTTTCATTATATAGAAAGCAACCTTCTATGTGAACCTTRTGAACTTGAATTTAACTTTATGACCATTTTAATTAAAAAAAAAAGGCAGCCAATAAATGTCTCTTGAAAACTACACTGAAGGAAGAGACTGTATTACCTGTGTGCAACAAATAGCACACAGTGCTCCACAAGCTATGTGCATGAGCAGAGCTGCCCTTCAAAACTACATGGTCCCGGGGCTTCCAGCACACCCCTTGTGCAAAGTTTATGTTGGAAATGCCACAGAATATGCAAGATTTATGTTAGAAATGCTATAGAATACGCAGTGTAGTCACCGTGCCACCTCAATACCGTGCACGCTGCAAAATGGTGACTCAATAAACAATTTAATTACCTTTTCTTAGAAATAAAAATAAAGGTTTTGCGGCTGCCGTTCCCAGCCAAGGTGCTGAGCAGCGAGCCTGCTTCCAACCCTTTACCTCTGCCTGCTGACTGCCTTCCCGGGCCAGCCCAGCCTCCCAAGCACCCTGTGCGCTTGCCAGCAGGAGCTGCCGCCGCGGAGCACGGTGGTGGCTGCTGAAGAACCAGCCGGGAGCTGCCGAGGGCAGCGCGGGAGCTAATTGCCATGCAAAGCACAGCGGCCCGCGAGCGGCGCGGCTCACGAAACGCTGCCGCCGAGGCTTGCGAAATGGGATGTCGTTTGTGAAAAAGCTACAACCCGGCAAATTTTATTTTTGAGCGTTACTTTCTTTTTCCTCGCCCTCCCAGCAGCTTTCACGCAGAGACAGACAAAAACGCCTCTCTGGAAGGAGCTGCCTGTTTGTGTTTTCCCCTCCTTTTAGGCGTCTGCGTTAAGGAAAACAAGAACAACCTCCTGCGAAACCCCTCTTGTTTCAATGCAGTGCAGGCTTTTGGTGCTGCTCCTCTTTGCCCTGTGCTAAGTGTTCTCACAAACTCCCCAGAAGTTGCTGGATTTTTTTCTTCAGTACAAACTAAGCATGATGAAATCTGCACTCTCCGCAGCCCTTCCTGCGGCACCGTCCRATGGTTCTGGGACATCTTAGACTGTCCCAGATCCAGTGTTGCATCATGATGTGCACCGTGTTCACAGCCCCCCTGTACTGAGGCTGCTGGGGTTGTCCTTCTGGACTCATGTGCAGTTTGGGGCAGTATACTGTAGATTAAAAGACAACAACAAAAAAAATAAAAACAAACAAACAAACAAAAAAAAAMCCCCAAACCCCCAAAAGCCAGGATTTGAGTGTGTATCACAATTATTTCTTTGACATACAATACCATAAGAGATACACACATGTGCCTATATATACCCATATATGAAGTGCTCTATGCACATTACCACTGGCCTTCCTGGCTATCATTTGCCTAATAGTAGCGACGTTCAGAGGTGCATCCATCATTCATTGAGTCAGGCGGGTGTGCTTTTCCCTGGCCTTATTTTTGTTAGGGCACCCAGGGTTTTCCAGCAGGATGTTTCCTGTTCTTTTTATTGTTCATACATGTTCATACATATTGTTGTGCAATGTTGGCTTGTGAAGACTCATTATCCACACCAAAGTTGCCCTTCAGTTGTTTCTCTGAAGAGATTTTGAGACCTTCAAGCTGTGGAATAGATGACCACAGAGAGGTGACTTTCGGGGTGTGTGTGCAAATGTAGCCAGGTTGGGCAAGTGTTATTTTTTGTAGAGCACATGCTCAGTAAAGGGTTTTAGACACTCGTGGTTTAGCTTGCTATGGATTTTATTATTCATGCTACATCCAAAACATTCTTCCTGGCATGACTTCATTGAAGTTGGAATGGCTAGGAGAGTACGGTTGGACTTTGGACATGAGAAAAGCTAGGCTGATGAAAAAATAAGACCTGGACCCGGTTAAAAACTCAGTTTCTTTATTCCTAAAGAAATGTCAACAATTCTTATTCTGAATCAGGGGTCAGATCTCTAGATGCCGTTTTTATTCAGTCAGCTACACTCATTAAAAAAATATAGCAGCTTGATGTTGCTTTCAAAACGAAATGTTAAAACATGTTCTTCAGTTCAGCTGAGAAATGACGAGTGGATCAAAACACTTTACTCCGATGTCAAATAATGAAAAAAATTAAATAAAATTTAGATTTATAGAATAAAATGCAGCCGAAATCAAGAAGGCATTGAAATAATACTGAAAGTTTCACTTTCACTCCAAATTGGAAAACTTTAACTTATAAAAATGTTTTAATTAAATGACACTAAAAACAGGATTGGCCAAAATCAATAGATACATGATGTCATTTTCATAACTGGAGCATCCTAAAGACAAAGCATTCAGAATGAAAAAGACCTGACCAGAACTGAATTTCAAATGATATTTCTCTTTTTTG